TCCAAGACCACGTTGTCGTTCCCGACGTGCAGCACACGCTCATTCATGCGTGTGTCCTAGCTTGCGTCGTGACTTGTCTAGTTGCATTCGTGTAATGAAGTGCGCCATGTTTATTCCGAAAGCTGGTGATGGCTGAACATTTTGCCCCGCCGCACTCGCAGTGCTGGTCAGCATGCGAGACGGGTGTTTGTGCCATTCGTAAACACCATCGCTCCACACGACAAAGCCAACGACGTTGTCCCCATGCTGTCGACCGTCCTGCCACTGTCATATTTCACCATGTTGACCTCTTCCAAGGACAAAGTGTGCTGAAAATTTTTTTTCGACTTCAAAAGATTAGTACTATGAAACATTTATTTTACCAATCACGTACTAAAAGGAATTCATCCTGCCATCACCGAGGCAAACAGAGACATCGCAGCGGCACCGCAGCGACGAACAAGCAGGCCCGCCACATGTCGTCACCTTTGCAACGCTCGACGCCACCCCCTCGGTCTACTGTGCCTCCCTCACCCGCTTCAAAGCAGGAACAAACCTTGGGAATTGTCCATGCTGGCAATCCTGCTGCCAACGAGTTGGTGCGGCAGATGAAGGAGCAGTTTGCTGCGCGGAAGACGTTGATCGACGAACAGCGCCAAGAGGTCCTTGCCATGCGAGCATCTCAAGCGAAAACACGTGAGCTGATTGTAAAGCAATTGTCGGAGATGGACAAGAAGCTAGACGACCAACTGTCACAAGTGAGGGAACAGCGCCGCCAGTTCGACATTCACACGCGCGAATTAGATCAATTGTTGTGTCAAGCCAATGCACACGAAGCGCATAGAGCGAAGAAACCCAAGCGAAACCAACAGAACGACGCATATCCGCCTGCAGCTCTGTCAACGGTGGCAGCCACCACTCCGACACCGAGTCCAACCACCGCAACTCAGCCCACTGCTGTACCCGAATCGCCATCGAAATCCCACCAGCCTGTCGCTACGGATGATTCTCCATTTTCCTCTCGTCGTTCTTCTGCACCTCCACCGAAATGGGATATTCGCAAGTGTGGGCAATTCGGGCACCTTTCCAACCTCCACCGCGCCGCAACTACAATGGGAACAGGATGGAATGTCATTGTTGCCACCCACCCTGTGGATGAATTTGCCGTTCGCATGACGTGGCCTGCTAGTTGCTCAGCCCCTTTTTCCCCCGTGATCGCGATCGGGTTCACTCGCGACCCGAATTGCTGGAAGATTCCCGTCAACCACCCGCCCCGCAGCTTTCCATGCCACAGGACGGGCTGGTTCGTCAATGCAAACAAAGGCACTGTATCAACATGTGACGGCCGCGAGAACGAGCCCTGCGGCCTCGTGCTCAAGTCGGGAGACGTGTTGAGAGCTACGTTCGACTTCACGGGAGAAACAATTACGTTTGCGCAGCAACTTGCTCCGCCATGCGAACGCCCCCACGTGACTCTTGAGAATGTGCGCAGCAACGCTTTGTACCCCGTGTTCGTGTCATGCGACAGTGGCATCCTCGTCGAATTTGTCGAGTTGGAGCGCTGACGACCAGGGGAAAGCTCTGTCGGGCTGCGGGAAACAAGTACGATCATTAAATAACACACACAACGACGAATCAATCTACGAGGATGGCTCAGTTGAGGATGAAGGACAGCGCGAGCGCGTGGGAACGGTAGGGCGTGTCCTTTGCGCACGGAAGCTCGACCTGGACGGGGAGTTTGTGGTGCGCAGTTCGTGTCGTGGACTCGGCTCTGGTCTTTCGTTCTTTGTTCTGGAGGCGATAAGCCTTGACGCGGGCCATGATACGCTCCTTGTTGGCCTCATAGTACTCGCGCTTCCCCGCGGCAATCTTGGCCTTGTTCTGTTCGTAGTACGATCGAACGACGGCGAGCTCTTTCTCCCGGTTCTTTTCGTATTGCTTCCGGCGAAACTCAGCTTGACGGGTCTTATCGCGGGCCATCGTGGTTGTGAGGTGGATGGCAAATGGAGAAGTGCCCCAGAATCTCGCACCGGCAGGGCCACACCTGATGCGTGTGGCGGTGGCGATTGTTCGCATGCAGCTGCGGGAGATTCGATGCACGTAACCCTTCGACATTGGTGATCTGTTGCAAATATATTCGTTATATTTCCAAAGAATTTGCAATATTTGAAACTATTATTTTCATGTGGGGTTTCTTCATAGTACAACGGGCGTGCGATGATGAACATGACGTTGAGTATGAAATGCAAGTAGGGCGCGGCGGCCGAGGCAGGTGCTGCCCCAACTCCCTTTCACCTTTGGTTGGCGTGGGGTTTGGAGATGCGTCGTGGGCTTCAGTGCGTCACACTGAGCGGGGTGCAGTCATCCCACTCTCCTTCACGACGTGATGGGTTGGAAACCTCGTTTTCCTCGGCGCGTTGGGGGTGGCACTGAATCATCGGGGCTGGTCTTCAAGTACACTGCTACCGATAGATGGTTGGATAGGATTCTATCCACGGCAGTACAACCGAAAGACTCCCGTTCCGTGGGTTTAGCTCAGGAGGTGGACCGACCCGGAAGAAAACGAACGAAGCGCCTTGGAGCAGCATCTGGTCGTGTACCCAGAGTCCCGACCGATACGAATAGCCAGGGAACGCGCCCGCGGTGTGTGCGGCTGCCTCGCCAAGTCGAGATTCGTTTTTGACCAAACATGTCGAGTCGTAGTCGGCTTCCGTTGTATACCATCAACGTCGTTGTGACCAGCAAAGCTGGTCAAGTAGTACGTGTTATCGTTGTGATCTGCAGAAGAACGAGGTGTGACGGTGCTGGCGGCCTTGTTCCAAAGGAGATTCGAAGGGCTGGTGGTGTGTATGGGTATCGAATGTTAGGCTTTGCACGGCGTCCAGTTGGTGCCCTCTCAGCTGCTGCCCCGGTCAAGCGGTCTTTGGAGTACCAGCTCGAGACCCTTGTATCGGCTGCGCTTGTGTAGATGCTGGCACGCCTGCGACCCAACCTCGTTACGTAAAACGACGAGAGCCGTGCCTGCATCGATCGCCCATGCTTGAGGTCATGAAATAATCTCGGGGCGAACCGATGCCTCCAAACTCAGGCTGATTCTTCAACGAATACGCTCATTCCGGTGGCTCTTCCACTTCGTTCAAGCCATTCTTGCACAGCCAGCTTGATGGTTTGCATTCTTGCCTTGACGAAGACCGGTCCATGTCGATGACGACGTGCAGGTTGGTCGCGCCTTCCCAGACTGAGTTTGTCGCGCCAGCGATGCATGCATGTGCACCACTCCATCCTTCCAAGGCTCCACTTATCCAACGGCCCTCCTTGGAGGATCGATCCAAAGGTCGTCCATGTCGCAGACTTTGCTAAACTGTCTACGCAAAGTCTTCAACATGACGGTCCTTCTTGCCCAACGAAATTTCTTCTTCAACTAGTATGACGTCGCCAGCCATCAGATCGATCGCGCGCATAGGAGATCACGTTGATCGGGCCCATGCAACTGGACGCATGGCACCAGTCGACTGGGGGCATTCTTCTCGCAGGGCGAACGTCGAAAGCCATTCACGTTGCACGTTCATCTCGCGCTTCCAAATGCATACATCCACCGACAAGCCACTTCATATTTGTTGAGGCGTCATTCTTGCTACCACATATTCGCTGGCTGTGGGGGTGCTCGCTTGCCGCACACAGTGAGGCATATGTATCCTGTGGCTCGAGGCCGAGGGGCGAAGTATTCGGGCTCGGTGACCCAATCATGTCAAGAGTATATCACAACGACATTCTCGTGGATGATCCGGAGGGTGTCGACGCAGGCCGCGTTCGCTCCACCAAGTCGATGTCGTCGTCGAATCCGACAAATGCGTCCGGCACGATAAACCCGCCGTATTCGTCCTCGTCGGGTGTGAAATCTTCCATCGACCTGCCTGAGGCAACAAATGGGATGTCCGTGCTGGTCAAGTTTACGGCCGCTTGTGCTAGGATGGTGGTGCTGCGTGAGGTAACATTCCATAGTGCTTCGAAAGGCGTTGTGCACGTTGTCGAAACCTTGGCCGACTTCAACGCATGCACAACTGATGCGAGCGCGCGTTCACGTGGATAGGTCCCTTGCAAACGACTTGCACGATGCAAAAGGCAATCATAATCGGTGGAGATTCGACTTAGTGCATGATGGAGTGTCGGTGCTTGTCAGACCTTTCGTCTTGCGGTCTTGACGTCGCCGGCGGCGTGAATGAAGCCGAACACCATGATGGAAAGTCACCGGATATTCCATCCGGATGTTATATCGCAGCGAGTTGTTATCCAGTCGGATGGGTTCGACGCATGGTTTGGTGGATGGAGCCCCAAGAGTTGAGTCTCGGACAGCAAGAGGCTGCCATGACAGAGAACTCCACCGACAGCACGCCCCAGACGACTCGGACCCGCGCCTCGTTGCGGCGGAGACGATGTCCTCGGCATTGTAGACGACCTCAACGAGGACTTTGCACCCACTGGTTTTTCACTCCGTTGCACACGGCATCTTCAGTGCCACGTCAAAAAAACAATGTTTTTGAGCTTTTTGTTTTGTTCCCTGTCAACAGCCCGAACTCTGTATATACAATTCGATCGAGTGTCGATTGGTCGATTCAGTGAGGGCGTCACGTTGGTGTGGATGCGAGGTCGACCGCCTCTTTTCCTGTTGTTCCGACTTGGACACTCCCCCGGCTGCACCCGCATCAGAGCGGCGGCGGGATGGAACGTGAGGAAGGGGCAGGAGCGTGTTGGAGGAGCGTTCCGAATGGGCCTTGCACAATTTGAATCGCCACGTCCAAGTGGGCAAAACCCAATCCTTTACCCATACAAACTTGGCGATGAAGGGGTGGGGCAAACGGGTTTCTCCCATCCCCTGTCTATCAAGAACCGTCGCGCGCGCCACGTGGTGCCGGGCCTTTACATCGTGGAGTATAACGTGGTACATTCAATACGTTTTACTTCCATCCACGCAGAAAACGCACGTTTAAACGCCTTCCGGCCGTCCACTATGTTGTCACGACCCCCCACGCGGTTGAATCGATTCCGCATTTTCCCCCGATGCACGCCGAGAGGATGGTGCTCCGGACCAGCGCCGTCCTGCTCGTGCTCCTCGCTGTCCTCCAAGGTTCTTATGCACAGCTCAACGACAACTCATCCACGCCTATCGTCACAACGACTGAACCATCACCACCTCCCACAGATAGCCCTGCCACGACCCAACCGGTTACATCCGCTCCTCCGCGTCCATCGCCCACGACTTCTTCTGTTGCTCCGCCAACACCACATCCAACTGTGTCGCCGCAAACCCCGCCCCCTCCCGTCACGACTACCCATATCAACCCCACCACTACGTTGCCGTCCACCACTGCTCCACCGCCAGTGACGCCCACGCCGTCGCCAACCACTTTAACCCCCTCGACTACTGACAATACGGCGACCTTAGCGCCCATCCCAACGATTACATCCCCCGAAGTCTTCACGATAGAACCACCCTTGGACGATACTGTTCCTGATGCCACGCCAGGCTCAGGAGGCAAACAACGTTCGAGAACTCCTTCTCCGACCGAAAACACCACGTCGGATGAGACTTCCGAGAGCTCGAACGCGGTCGGTGTGGTCGCAACGATCGGCGCGATTTTTGCCGGCATTGGACTTGCAGTCGGCGCTGTGTGGCTCGTCCGTCGCCGTCGAATGGAAGAACTCGCAGACGACGACGACGAGGTCGAGTTGGACGACTTCATTCCGCCGAAAGTAGAGCGAAAGCAATCGCAGCAAACCCATCAAACTCGTCCGTCGTCCTGGAGCTCTAATGACGATGGCATCCGACACAGTGCAAACCCTGCCGTTGGTCATGTTCAGGACGACCCTCACTCGATTGCCCTGGACGTCGACGACTCGGTCTTCTTCACGTGGCGATCCCCGAGCCAGAAGAACCAACCTCCAGTCTTCACGCAACTCGTCGTGACGTCCGAACAAGACGACGATGACACTGCACCCATGTTCATGCGGTCGCCTAGCGACCAAATGATGCTGCACAGCGACGTCCCGGACATCTTTCTGACCGGCGAATCGAGCTCAAGCTTTTCGAGTTACCAGTACACGCAGCGCGAAAACGGCGTTCCCAATCAAGACGGATCGAAACCCGTGCCATGCTTTGATGCAGCCGACTCTAGTGACATCCACAGTCATGCATCTGTGTCCTACAGCTCCACTCCTTGCCACCACAGGTCGAGCTACAACGACGATGGCGACTCATACGCTGAGGGCGACGATGACGACAACCGCTCATTCATGTCCGCTGCTTCATCGAACGTCAGTGGCTTGTACATCCAGTCCGAGTCGGACTACTCGCCGCGATCCTCCCAGCAGTCCTCCGACATGCCGACTCCAGTTCACCGTCGCACCACAAAGTACGACCAGTAGCCATATAGATTTGTCTTAATTTATTCCGGGAATGTCAGTATTTGATTGGTTTAAAAGTATCAATGGAGACGTATAATGGATGAAAATAGTGTCATTTTCGTGGGGGATTTTCGTTGCGTTTTTCTCTCCCTGGACATGTAGACGACGCCGCCGCGACTCAGATGATCATATCCCACTACCCAATTTGCGACGTCCATGGCAGAGGAACCAGAGCCCGAAGTGCCGCCGACGACGGCCGCATCAAGCAAGACCGTTGCGAAGCCACCGTCGTCGTCCTCTGTGCCATCAACTCTAGCTCTCGTCGGACTCTCTATAGCCGTGGCCGTCGCTGCAACTGTCTTCTATACTCCTGTTGAAAGTGTCCAATTAACACATCAACAGACTCAAGAGCAACTCTTCCGTGCAGCGCTGCATATTCCTCGCTCCCGCGGCAACCTCACCCTTGCGAATGCATCGTCTATTCCCACGTATGGCGAGCTTCCCAAATACGAGACGGACATTGTTTCGATGGACGTTCAGTTGTTCTTGGAGCCACGGACGTGCTCTTCAGTGAAGCCGGCGCTCGTGAGCTCGTCGTGGGTGCCTGTAAAGAGCGTGATGCAATTGCCAGTGGGCACGCTTCGTGCAAATCAGTCGGTGTTTATCATGCGGAACGGCGCGAACGAAGGGTCTCATTCCCTTCACTCAAATTCACGCTCACGCTTTATTTGATATAGGCTGCACTTTCGATGGGACGGAGATGACAGTTGCTTGCATGAGCTGGCCCGAACCGCTGCCCTTTCCCTCGGCGTCCCTCCGCTCCGACTCGACAATGGTGTGCGCTTGGCGTCGCAGTACAGCCTGCCCCTCTTGAATGCCGCCGACGTGGAGGCTTCGAACCGTATCGTTCATGTCCTGCTTGACTTTGATCTGTGGGTGTGGCCTGGTATCGAAGTCAACTTTACGTACACCTTGCATGACAACATGACGCTCACGACCAAGAGCTTGTCGCCGCGTGTGTTGTCGCTGGCGAATTTCATCACGCAAGACGAAGCGAACGAAATCATTGCTCAGGGCGAGAAGTACTTGAGGCGATCGCCGACTGGGGAGTCGGTCGAAGGCACGGTGTCGGACATCCGCACGAGTTATACGGCATTTCTGCCCGACACTGCGTTTTCCAGGTACAACGAGATTGGCATTGCTTGGATGTGACAGCCACGAAATTCCCACAGACTTTTCCAACATCGAAGCGCGGCCGTCGCGCGGCTGCCGAGCCCGTCGTACGCAGAACGCATTCAGCTCGTGCGATATCGCCCCGGCGAATTTTACCGACAGCACTTGGACACGATGTCGTCCAAGAATATTGTGACACCGCCAATCTACACCTACGACGACTTTCTGAAATGGGCGAGTGTTGCTGCGGCATCCTTGGATGTGCTCGACAACGAGTCGATTCCTGACGGGTTTCGGCCAGGCCAGCCGCTCTACCCGAATGGCAAAGACGTCAAGTTTGCACGAGCATTAGTTGAGTTGTTTTGGAACGACGGCGTTGCCAACCACTTCTTTGAAAGCCGAGACGAAGTCGAGTGGGAGCGTTGGCTGGCGGCCAAGGTCGCTTCGTCCAGTGGAAACCCTTTGAGACAGCTGCTCAAACCCAACGGTACCATTCGAGTCTTTCATGTCGAACTCACGACATGTGTAGCAAAACCAGACTACTTGATCCACATCATTCGGATGTGGGAACGCCGTTTGAATCTGCCTGCCGTGACTCCATACAACGAGTTGCCACGTGCAGCGACTGGTACGACGGGACTCCGCGAACAACGGGTGACTTGATGGGGCCCTGCCAGGTCTCTCGCATTTTCTCCGTTGGATTCGATGGGCGAAAGAACGCATCAGTGGACTTGGCGACGCCGTTCCAAATAGCATTCGCCCGAGCGGGAAACTGTACCCGAAATACGACCAGTATTTCCAATACGAAATCATTCGACTGCTCTTCAAGCACCACACGACGGCCGAGTTGATCACGCTCTTGACGAAGAAATGGTGGGGGGTCTGACCTGTTGAAACTTGCTCACGTCCATGTGTGCAGGTACGACTTTTTGGTCGAATACAAGGCTCGGCGGGATTGCATCCACATTTTGCTGCAACAAGTGCCAGCGTTGGCGCAGGCCGTGGCGGACACGTGGGAAAAGGAAGTCCAAATGCCCGATGGGAAGCTGTCGTACAAGCTGCCCGCACATGTCCACCACATGACGCCGAATCGCTTTGTCACCTTGTTTATGTACCTCAACGCGGTCGAAAGCGGCGGGGGCACCGTGTTTCCGTATGGTAGCCGCGTGACTCCTGCTGACGTGGAGATTCCTTCCAAAGGCATGGAGGAATGCGGCAAGGGATTGAACGCCCCTCCCACCGCGTTTGGTGCGAGCTTGTTCTACACGCAAACCCCTGATCAAGAAGTCGATCCACTCGCGCTGCATGGAGGGTGCCCACCGCAAGGAGGCATCAAGTGGGGCTCCAACTCGTTCATGTGGAATGCCGATGCCGGCGAAGGCAGTGACTTTTGGAATTAAGTCTGCATCATCACGTGCTGTGTCCGTCCATGTTGTTGTGGAATATATTTCTTTCTTGTGGTGATTCTCAAAATATCCTCAAATTACATGTCATGCTCGTCAAACTATCTGCAGTTCGGATACGTGAATGTTTCCGGATAGTTCTTGACATTCGATCGCCATTGCTTTTGATTGCGATGGTCAAAGCACCGGCCAAGCCGGCGTCCGTCGTCGGTGATGTCGTTCGCAAGACACTCAACCTTCCCAAGACGGACTTTCCCATGCGCGCAAATGCGACAGTTCGTGAACCTCAGCTGCATGCACGCACAGTGACAGAGCTGTACGCGACGCAAGAGAAGGAACGCAAAGGCGTTGCCAAGACGTTCTATCTTCACGATGGACCGCCGTTTGCCAATGGATCGCTGCATACCGGTCACTTCCTCAACCGCGTGCTCAAGGACATCATCAACAGGCAAGCTTGAGGCATCGCCTCGCAGCCCTTTTACTCAGTTGTAGGTACAAGTTGCAGCGAGGTTATTATGTGCACTACGTGCCGGGTTGGGATTGCCACGGTTTGCCCATTGAAATCAAGGCCCTGGAGAAGCTCAAGCAGCCCCGCGATAAGGTACAATGCGATTCTTTATATCAACATTCATCCCGCGCTTTGTGTTCACCAGTTGGACCCCATGGACATCCGAAAGCATTCGAGAGAGTTAGCCCTTGGCGCGATCGAAAGCCAAAAGCAGGATTTGATGCGTTGGGGAATCTTGGCCGACTGGAGCGGCGATAAAGGCACGCGATACCTCACGATGGACCCAGAATATGAAGTCAAACAGTACGACGTGTTCAAGCAAATGGTGAAGGACGGGCTCATTGTCCAAGGGTACAAACCGGTCTACTGGTCCCCTTCGTCCGGAACAGCGTTGGCCGAGTCGGAACTCGAGTACCAAGACGACCACGTCTCGTCGTCTGCGTACGTCCGCTTCCCCGTCAAGCACTCTCCCGTCGCGTTGAAGGCCTTTCCAAACGTACTCTTGTCATTGCTTCGAAAGCATCGCCTCACACGTTCATGTCGTTGCAGATTACCGCTGTCATATGGACGACCACGCCATGGACCATTCCTGCGAACCGTGGGCTGTGTGTGCGGTACGCCATCGGTCGTGTTCAACTTTCATATCATGGCGACATATCGCAGGTCCAACTTGGAATATGCGATCGTGGAAGTGGCGCCTGGCCAGCATGACCTGGTTGCATTGGCCCTAGTCGACTCGTATGCCCAGACCGTGCTGCACCAAGAACATGTCAAAGTGGTTGCGACCGTGTGGGGCAAAGACCTCACTGGCGGCGTATTCCGCCACCCGCTCAACGGCCAAGATTCGATCGGCATGCGAAGCAATCCCATTGATGCTTTGCTAACGAGTTGAACGGGTAGTGTTACTGGGCGACCACGTCACGACCGATGCAGGAACGGGCATTGTCCACACGGCGCCGGCTCACGGCCAAGAGGATTACTTTGCCTGGATGGCGCATCACGCCCAGCACCACACAGACAACTCGATGACGTGCCTTGTGGACGAAAAAGGTCATTCGAGCCAGTCGGACCTATAACGTGACGCAAACTGTACAGGATGTTACACCGCCGAAGCCGGCGCGGACCTTGCGGGGCTCTTCGTCCAGACGCACGGCACGGAAAAAGTGTTGGAGCAACTCACGGCATCTAACGCCCTCGTGTCCGTCTCCAACTATACCCATCGCTTCCCGTATGACTGGCGCACAAAGAAACCGATTCTGCTCCGCGCGACCAAGCAGTGGTTTGCCAAATTGGATTCGCTGCATGCTCTGGGCCATGAAGTACTCGCCCTGCTTTGTTCACTCTGTCAACCTACATGCAATTTTTAGGCTCTGGACAACGTCAACATGCATCCGAAAGCGTCGCGCCGCCGCCTGGAAGCTACCTTGTCTAGCCGAAGCGAATGGTGCGTGCGAAAGAAGGTCAACAGATGGGTCAAGGCGAGGCCGTAGGTGCATATCCCGCCAACGCGCTTGGGGCGTCCCGATTCCAGTCTTCTACGAGAAGGATACGATGGAGCCCCTGCTGAACGACGTGACGATCGCCCATGTGCAAAAGGTCATGCTCGAAAATGGAGGCACGGACGCCTGGTGGTCGCAGCCTGTGTCCACGTTACTCGCGCCTGAGTACGACCCTGCGCAATACGTCAAGGGCACCGATACGCTCGACGTCTGGTTTGACTCGGGAAGCTCGTGGAATGCAGTGCTGCCAAAGGGCGTGCAGGCCGACATCTACCTTGAAGGTACAACCGAGTTGGGCAAAACGATATGTGGGGCTCAACGTTAGCCATCGTCAGGCTCGGACCAACATCGCGGGTGGTTCCAATCGTCGCTCCTCACGTCTTTGGCGGTGCAGCGCAAGGCACCGTACAAGAACGTGATCACCCACGGGTTCATCCTGGACGAACGAGGCCAAAAGATGTCCAAGTCGCTCGGCAACGTGCTCGTACCGCACGACATCATTGAAGGCCAGCCGAAGAAGAAGATTCCCCCGTATGGTGTGGACACATTGCGGTATTGGGTCGCATCAACGGACTACACAAGTCAAGTCGGCATTGGGCCCAACACGATGATCAAGATCAGCGATCATGTTCGCAAGGTCCGTCTCCATGCAGCGACTATCGCCATATGACGCAATCACTCGTAGGTGCGGAACACGGCACGTTTCCTTCTCGCCAACTTGAACGACTTCGACCCTCGCATCGACTCAGTTGCGTACTCGGACATGACGTCGCTGGACCAGTACATGCTCCATGTTCTCCACGATCTCCAAGCGGAAATCACTGACGGGTAGCGTTCCATGTGGTGCTTGAAACGACGTACAATTTGTGAATGCTTGATTAGGTACGAAACGTTTGCGTTCAATAAAGTGCAGCAGGCGATTGCGCACTTTATTGCGACGGACTTATCCGCGTTCTACATGGAAGCATGCAAAGATCGGTTGTACTGTGAAGCTCCCGCCGATCCGTTCCGCCGGTCCGCGCAGACGGCACGTCTCGACCGTTGTACATTGAAATGGCCATGCACTAACAGGTGGATGGAAATAGGTGCTTGATGTTGCTCTCGAAACCATCACGAAGGCAATTGCCCCAGTTGTGTGCCACACGGCGGAAGACATCCGTCTCCACCGCCTGGCCCAGTTTACCAACGCCATGTTGAACGATGTCCCAGGAAGCGTATTTTTGGAAGGATGGTTCGAGCCTAAGGTATTCGATGGATGCAAGGATGTCACGTACATGTTCATTGCGACCAACCCATAGCCGGAATGGCGAAACGACGAAGTGGCGGCGGCTTGGAAAGTGCTTCGATCTCTGCGATTGCAAGTGAATCGCACCGTGGAACAGCTACGTGAACAAGGAGCGATCAAAACGACGATGGAGTGCAACATTGACGTCAGTGATGGAGAAGTTCGAACTCCCCGCTCATCACGACATTGCCGTGATAGATTTACGCGAATGGCGAACTAGCGGACCTTTTGAAGCAAGTGAACTCGCGCATTCTCGAAGATATGCTGATGTGCTCAGGAGTGAAGTTGTTTGACCTGGATGCTTCGGCTGGGGAAACAACGACAGTGATGGACAAGTACCCTGTCCGCGTTGTTGTTCGAGCAGCCGAAGGGCACAAATGCCCACGTTGCTGGAAGTACGCCTTGGAGGTGAACGAGACTCAAGAGACTCTCTGTACCCGATGTGCCACGGCTGTTGGATGCTCTAGTGTGCACGATCTTGCCGACTAGAACCGTACGAGGAAGGTTTAATCGACAGCAAGAGTTTTGCATGCTTCTCCCGTATCAGGCGCTACTTCACGTCAACAAAGCCCCCCTTGAACAACGGCTCATTCTCTGAAGGACTCTTCCTTTGCAATGCCTCATCAACTTCTTGAGAGGAGAGGAAGCCGATGGAGTACCTAGCGCATGCCCCATCGATCAATTGACACTCACCAAGCTGGTGTTTGTGATCTTGCAACATTTTGGCTGAATTCCCAACTTGTTTAATTTCGTCTGTACGGATTCAGTAAATTTGGGTAAAAGTTTCGTCAATATTTGTGAAATCAAGCCAATCCGAGCGCTTCGTTCATCGAACGCTCTCGAAGTGTTGGCTCGGCTGAATCTGGCGTTCTCGAAATTTCGACACGAGCAAGCTCCATACATTTTCACTGTCGCTGGTTTCTCCTATTTGATTGGTTTGAATCTGTCCAATCCAGATATTTAACGTGATTTAACACACTCGGGAAACTCGAAGGCGGCAAACGTGTGGACCCTTTCCATTCAAATACGCACTTAACGTGACGATTTCAGGTGCACGAATACCGTTTTGAACGAGCGTGGACGACGGCGTGTCGACTTTAACGTCGAAGATTTTCCTTGCACCGCAATGGACACGAGATCATTTTCCTTTTCACAATGTTCGGTGGAAGCGGCTTTGAATCGTTCTTTGGCGGCGGCGACGCCCGTGGTGGCGGCCCGTCCAAACCCGTGGACAACAGTGCCTACTATGAGACGCTTGGTGTACCCAAGACCGCCAGTGCCGCCGATATCAAGAAGGCGTACCGCAAGCTGGCGCTCAAGAACCACCCGGACAAGGGTGGTGACCCCGAACTTTTCAAGGACATCACGGTCGCGTATGAAGTTCTCTCGGACCCGGAAAAGCGCGAACTGTACGACAGATATGGTGAAGAAGGATTGCAACAAGGCGGAGGCGGTGGACATCCTGGAGCCGACATTTTCTCGCAAATGTTCGGCGGTGGTCGTCCCCGCGGCCCCCAACGTGGTGAAGACTTGACCCATCCGTTGAAGGTGTCGTTAGAAGACTTGTACAACGGCAAGACCGTCAAACTTGCGGTGAATCGTGACGTTCTGTGTGGCGGATGCGCTGGTCGAGGTGGTCCCGAGGGTGCTGAAACCACGTGCGGCACTTGTAATGGGCGCGGCATGCGCATCCAGCACCGCCAAATCGCTCCTGGCATGGTTCAACAGGTCCAGTCGGTGTGTGCTGACTGCCGTGGCCAAGGCAAGTCGATTCGCGAATCCGATCGATGCAAGGTGTGCAAGGGCAACAAAGTCACTAAGGAGCGCAAGGTGCTCGAAGTGCACATCGAAAAGGGCATGCGCAACGGCCAACGCATCACGTTTAAGGGCGAAGCTGACCAAGCCCCAGGCTTAGTTGCTGGTGATATCGTGTTTGTTGTCCAAGAGAAGGAGCACGCTGTGTTCCAGCGCAAGGGCGGAAACCTCATTTTCGAAAAGAAGATCTCGCTCGTGGAAGCGTTGACTGGTTTCGAAACGATCGTCGAGCACTTGGACGGCCGCCACTTGCACGTGAAGTCTGCCCCCGGCGACGTGATCAAACCCAACCAATTCAAGGCTATCCAAGGTGAAGGCATGCCTCAGCACGGCAACCCGTACGTGAAGGGGCAACTGGTCATCCTGTTCAAGGTCGAGTTCCCTACCCAGTTAACCTCCGCGCAAGCGACCGCGCTCAAGTCGCTATTCCCACCTCCGGCTCGACTGACCCGTGTCACAGACGCAGAAGAAGCGTACCTGACGGACTTCGATGCCGAAGCCGCCAAGCAGCAGGCCTCGCAAGAAGCGTACGACTCGGACGAAGACCGAGGGCACCGAGGAGGTCCTGGTGGAGTGCAATGCCAGCAACAATAAGAGTAGGAGCTTACAATATCTAAACCACCCTTAACTATTTCAATGATGGACGCACTCGACCACGTACAGCGGCGGGGCTTTCCAGGTGTCTTTGCTAGCACTTCACGTTGTCATGGGGCTCGAGCCGAAGCTCACGACGGACGTGGCACGTCCGTGGGGGGCGTATGTACCGAGGACAGAACTTGGATCCACTTGGCCCGCCCCTGTGTACATCAAGACCTGCTTCGTCCATCATGCTAACGCGACTACCGCCGCATTTCCAGGGACTTCCATGAAACCAAACCATCCAACTCATAGCGCACGACAGCGTGAATGTCACCCACGTCGACGCGAACGTCGTGGACTTCCTGCCTCCTCGCCGTGATTTTGCCCACGTTGGATGAACGTCCAACGTCGAGACATGATGCGGCAAGTGTGCGTGTCAGGCGCATCATGGACGCTTGCCACGGCCCATCCGTCTCTCCCGCCACGGCCCACAGTACAGTTGAACAAGGTGCATCATGTCGGATGCGCTGTCCATATATGTGACTTCTTCATGAGTGCAGCGTTTCATTCCATCTCTCAAGTCGAATTCACACCAAATCCGTTCAAATCCCAAATTTGGAAAAATGCGAATCCATGGGCTCCAATTTTGGATATTTGTTCTGAGAGAGGCGAAGTGATATTTCCAACGAATGTTCGTCGAGAAGTCCCTAACGCCCAACTGAATTTAGTGTGCCAAAACATACCAGATCACAAACACATTTTTACACACATTAATACATACTACTCTGGTC